GTGTGTTTGAAACATCAATTTAACTGTAGGTAGATGTAAAAATAGTCTCTTGATGTGGAGAGAACATAACAAACACGTATCTTAAGTTTTGGATGCAAAAAGACAGCATTTGCCTTTCTGCTGGGAAAGGGTGGCCAGTGAAGATATAGCAAGTTATAGGTATCAACAAGAAGTGAGCCCCTCACTTAGTGAGTAGACTGATTCCCATGAATTCCAGTGAAACTACTGAGAATGAGTAAGGGCACCATAATTCAGCCCTTGCCCAGTATTGGAATACATACATTAAGATATGTTTCTGCAAAGTATGAGGGCAATAGGATTTGAGCGAACTCAACAATGGGGTGGAACAGATCAGTTGGGAAGTCATCAGTAGTCATAACGGGCGTGCCCAGACGAGCCCAGCTGTGTGGTATGTGGCACCATGAGCACATCTGCAGTGCCACATACCGCACACACAAGTGTTCTCTGCATTGCAAGGGTGAGCTGCCTGTGCATGCACCTCTCCAGTTTTTTTTCCCTGCCCCTGTGGGTTTTTTGACCCCCAGATATCCAGGGGTCAAAAAAACATGCAGCAAAAAAACGGGAGCGGCGCAAGCATGGGCAGTGTGTGCTGCTGAAAAGCAGAGCTGGGCCTCCTGGAGCTGCGCTGCAGCTGCCAGCAAGGCTCTGCCCAGCAGGAGCACTGCAGGTGCAGCCCCGGCATGCCCCCAGGACCCCAGGTAAAGCTGCTGGGGCCAGTCCAGCGCCGGCCCCAGCCTCCCCTACCCCACCTAGGATAACTTGCTGCAATGACTCTGAAAGCAAAGGGATCAACACAAGTCAGGCTGAGTGGCTAGGAAGATGTTTATTAAATGGCATGAACTATGCACCAGAGAGGAAAGGCTCAAATCTTGGACCTAGTGACCACAGCTGGGATGAGTCACTCTGGGAGAAATGGGAGAGGAACAAGAAGGAGAAGCAGAAAGGGTGGGATCAAGATAAGCTAAAGAATCACTAGCACTTTGGATCCGATGCCTGTTCCCAGGCCCCAACCCCAAAATATCTGAGGTTCGGCTGAGAGAGGCAGCAGTGTCTGTGCAGAACGGCTGTTTCCTATTGCAGCTCGGCTCACTGCAGTCTCAATAATAACTTTTAGCTTTTTCTCAATTTACACAAATAACGACTTGCGCAACAAAAGGTGCAGATAACAGAATACCTGCACCCCTGAGGCTTTGCAGCCAGAGATATCACAAAGGAGGGATGAGCATTATTTCTCCTCTGCCTTTGCACCCTTTGTAAATTTAAGGCCGAAGGAAGCTGCGACTTGCTGAAGCTCTCACAGAGCATCAGCACCAGAATCCAGATAACCCAACTGTCGTTCTCTGGCTATGTTTTGCCTGCTCTCCTGTACATCCTGCCTCATGCTGTTGCAGTGTTAATCCCTGTGCGTTCTCCTCCTCCAGTATCAAGATGCACCAGCTTCCCCACGTGGTCTTTCAGTGCTGTCAAAGGCACAGGGACACTTATCAGTATGCAAGGAAAATATACCATGATTTCCAGAGAAATACCTATTGTCCTGACTGCATTTGAATCAACCCCTCCTCCATGCCTGTACCTCTGAGTGGGGTATACAGTCAAGAACTGCACTACCCTACAAACCAGCACCTTGCCGGAGGCCTCTGGAGATGGACTAGTAGCTGGGCAACTCCTCCCACCCCCTTCTGCAGTACCGCACCTTGAGGTACCTGCCATTGCCTCTCTCCTGTCCATAATTGCTCACTCCTGTTGGGCTTATTTCCCCTCCATACTTTTCTGAATCTCTTCCTTTCCATCAATTTCTTACTACATTTCTACTCTCTTACATGTGTTCTCTCTTTTCTACAGTAGCTCCACTTCCCCCCACTCACCACTTTCATGTTCAGGCCCACATGCGAGCCTGAGTTGTCTTTCTCAAAACCTTAGGGACGAGGCATAAAACGCCAGCGGTGCTGCTCAGTGGTTACCAGTGAAGCCACCTGAAACAGCCACTATATCTTCTTCAGCCCATCCTCCGTGCAGAGATTTGGCTACTGGATCTATATAGCTGGGAGTCTGCTGGCCATGCACAGCTGAAGCCTCTTAGGGGCTGTGTAGTCTTGTGGATGACTTCTATAGCCTATACCCTCCTTCACAGATGAACTGAAGTGCTTTTGCTAAGTTAGGGGTATACATACCTATTTCCCCAACTGTATACATCTCTAGGGCTATATCTTTACCAGTGATTTTCAACCTGGGTGCCATGCGGTGCAAGGAGAATGCCATGTATGAGGACATAAGGAGATAGATGCAGACACATTCCTGCCTGGCTCATCTCCTGTCCCCACTGCCTGGCTCTTCTACAGGGAGGTTAGCACTGTAACACATAAGATAGTTTTTGAAACTCAATTCATACAAGTTCAAGGGGTGCCTCGAGTCCAGTGAGGGGGTGCCTGGAGTCTACAAAGGTTGAGATCCACTCCTCTATACTGAAAACACAGTGGCTAGTACTGGCATGCTGGAACATACTGCCCCATTCCAGGCAGGCAGCTTTACAGAGCAGAACCCATATAGGTGTATCCATGCTAATTAGCTTAGGACAGGCTAATTGGTGCTGTCACTCAGCTGTGCTAACTAGCCTGCCTGCAGCACCACAGAGCAGTGGTTACATTGCTTTTGGTTTAAGACAACCTGCCTGAAGCAGCACAGCTAAAACCCTCGGCACCAGTTTATTGAACACATGTTTATTGAATAGACATAGTCTTAACGTATGCAGGCAATTCCCTTTCCCGTCGGCCGTGCATGGGCAAACCAGCTTTGAGCCGAGTGTCCCTTGCTAACTCAAGTAATACCCCCTTTTCCTGCTCCTTGTTTGGTGGCTGAGAGCAGTGAGATATATTTAAGGTCCTGTACTAAAAACAAGTCAGCTACTTCACAATCCTGAAAGTAAGGCTGGCTCTGTAGTATCACTTCCAAATGACCCTCCTTGTTTTAGCTCTGTGAAGATGCTGTTATGTTTTTTAATTAGAAAGGCATAAAAATAACCCCGCCGAACAGCCAGTTCTACTGGATAAGTGTCGGGGAACTATCCTCCATCACAGCACGGAAGATATTCTGGAAGAACTTGTGTGATAGCAGGGCAACAAGCTAGACCCGATCTCTATGCTTTTAGCCCTATTGCCCATCTCCAAAACTGCCTATGTTCTTGATTGCCACCAACATCTACAATTTCCAGGTTTCAGTTGCACCGCGCCTTCTGCTCAGCTTTGGTGGTACCTGAGGTTTGTCATCCCACATCACTGCCAAAGCAAAACCACACTGCTTTCAGCTGATCTGTCTTCAGCAAGCCTTCTTGCACTAAAATGAATTTTCCTAGTCAGTCTTCAGTACCCAATACTTAAAAGGAAAGCCGCAGTGATCTGTTACTGTACTCTTACTAATAAAGAACAATTCATATTAATAATGAATTATTAAAGGACTATTTAAAAATACCTGTTGTTGTCTATCAGTATCTCCCTTCTGTGGTGTCTATGTGGGTCTTTGATTTAATGATAAACCATAAATAGATGGTTCTTGTTTAGTGGCTTACTCTTGCTAATTAAATGCTGTAATTAGAATATCTTCTATAGTATTTTTGCTTGAAGTGATTGCTCAAATTAAGGGTCAGCTTTAAGAAACTTCTGACTTTGTCCTAGTGAAATTGTTCAACACCTAAAGAGCCCCTTCTCTGTAAAATCTGTGCATCAGCTTTTTGATACAGCCCATGGGGGTTTTAACGTTGAGAAATGTGCTGTTTTCCCAACTTCTGCACTACCCTGTACAATTCTTTTCTGAATACAAACCAGTACAGTACATTTTTAAAGTAAAACATGCTTTTATCACCATTTAAGAAAAATACGAAAAATGTTAACAGTTGAAAACGAACTCTAGAAATCTATATACCTGTCTTTGATTCCTTTTGTGCAAACAGAAGGTTACTTTACACTCGGCAACTCCAGCCCAAGCAGCAGAGTGCAATGCATCCAAGTCAACCCAGTATTGATGTGCATTGTGCTCAACTCAACATCGGTCTTCACTGCACTCAACTCTAGTGTGTGTGTTGATCAACTCACCTGGAAATCGGGCAGAGTTGAAGGTGTTTGGTATTTCACAGGAAGGACTCAGCACCTCACAGATTGAGTGGTTCTTAGTTCTGTAGTTAGGACCACTGATGCAAACTAAGGACTTGATTTGGCTACTGTGAAATCAATGGGAGTTTTTCCAATGATTGCAATGAGAGCATCATCAAGTCTTGTTTCTAAGTCCTTATTCAGGAAAATTGTCTCTCTTCAATGGACGTTTTCCTGAGTAGGGTCTGATGGCATCAGCTCCTAAAAAAAAACCTTTCCTTTTTTTCTGCAGGAATACATTTTTTTTTTCTTAGATGACACCAACCTCCAATTAATCTGTACAGTCTTTGTATGTGTAATGCTACCAGTATGTGAATAACAAAATATTTTATTCACTTGAGGTAATCAATTAAATATTTCAAACACTAGGCTCTGGAAAACTCTCTCATTTCAAGTTATATTTGGTCCTTTATGCCAACATGGCTATAGCATTACAATTTTCATTTCTAAATATAAAAAACCCCAAAATCATAGCATAAAAAGGAAAGATTAAAGTGCATACGTCATACACAGACACTCATCCTGCCAGGCACTCCATAGAGGTACGCTCTTACTCTTTGCAGGATTGGGGTAAAAGGGTCAACAACAGAAACTCAAGTGCAAATTACTGCTACTGCTTGCAAAGCTCATCACTCCAGTGACTAAAAGGCCCAGTCCTGCAAGCCCTCCATATGCAGCACTCCCCTGGAATCCCATGGGGTTTCCATGGGATCTTGAAGGCCTGCAGAGGTGGACCCACCAGTAAAATTCAACCAAGGTCTCTTTACAAACAAAGTCCTTGTTCACTTATAGCTAATGTATATTCATAATAAAAAATGCTTTTAACCTGTGTACCTGCTTGCAGGCCTATGTGGTAGGGGGACTTTGGATAAATTGGAAAATACAGGGGGGAAAAAATAGGAACTTCAAATAGGGCAGTGCAGTGTCAATTTAGTGCGATGAGCTACTATGTAGGGTCCTTGGATTTGCCACTCAGCTATGGAATAAAGATTATCTAGATTTGCTCTTAGATATATTTCTCATTGTATAGGTGTGCATACAGAGAGACAGAGCTTGCATGGGATGAAGGTTCTTCAGGTCTGACTACTTCATCTAAGTTGCATCTTTGTCAGATGAGTTGCTGCCCATATTAGTCCTTCATCTGAGTTTTTGATGTTATTTACAATATTTTGTGCTTTTGAACTTTTCCAGGAATTGGGCAATACCCCCCAAGAGTGCCATGGCCATGGCCTTTTGGAAAATGTCCTTTGTCATCTTGAAACAGATAAGAAAAGAGTTCTGTTTTTTCCAGGACAACCAAGTGCCTCCATGGCTATATCTATAGATATATATATATATATAGATTACAACTCTAAGTTAAAGGCTCTTAATAGGACATCCAGGTCACCCACATTAGCAGCTTGAAATAGTTCTGGCTGGTCCATCATAGAAAGAGCGATCCTGAGAGCTGCCCAGATATTACCTGATATTGCAGGATGGGGAACCTGCTGTTGATTCCTGCTCTTTCTCTGCAGGCTGAGAGCAGTGAGGAAATTACTGACAGCCTCCCTGTAGGGGAGGAAAGAGAGGTGACATACAAACATCACAATGTTATCGTGTTTAAAAATGAGGTATATTGTTTTGTCTTCCTTTTTGTGGCTTTGGTATAAAATGAGACACATTATTTGACTATGTTTGACCACAGTTCTGTTCGTACTATTCTTGCTGGATCTGCCCTACCCCTTTTTTCAGTTGCTTGCTGATGAGCCTTTACTGATATACTTATCAAATGGCTTCAAGCCAAAGCAAGGGTCCAGGCAGTGCTGGATTTAGCCTTAAGCTACGGTTTAGGGCCTCACAATATGAGGGGCCTCTAAATAAGAAAAAAACCAAACCTGGACATTTCCATTCTAATATGACAAAAATATACATGTATATGACTCCACAATTATTATTGGTATTGAGTTCATAAATTTGTGCAGAAATAACAATAATTCCTCTTAAAATTTCATGAAAACCCATCTTTTTGGATTTTGTGGGTTATTGTTATATGGGGCCTCTTAAACTGGACACAGTTCAGGGCCTCAGCATGTTGTAATCCGGCAGTAGCATAACTAGGCAAGGCGAGAAGGGCACCAGCCCTGGGCACCAACTTATTCCTTCCCCCTTCCCCACCAGTCTGCTACGTCTGGAGCAGCCCTGCCCCTTTGCATCGCAGGAGCTCAGCTGAAGAAGCTCTGCACCATCCGGCCATAGGAGCTGTGTGCCGGGACATGGCAGGAGCAGCCACATGCTGCCCAACCATAGGAGCTGGGTGCAACCTGGATACCTGACACATGAAAGATATTGAATTTTAGCCAATTTAAAAAAAGTATGAAATCTTCATATTTTCCCAAGCAGGAAGCAACTGTGCCCACCTGAAACCTGAGCTCCTGCTCCTGCCTTTGTTTTAAGGTAATTTGCATAATCTCAGATCCTCACAGGAGGCGAGAGGCTCCACACCAGCTATGAACTGCCTGCCCAGAGGAGTTTTCCATCTATTGACTCCTCTGTGAAATCCTATGAAATATGAACTTTCATTTCTACCCAGGAGAACTTTTACAATCTTTTCTCCAATGCCTGATGAAGGGTGTTTGTGCCCGAAAGCTTGCAATTAAATTTTGTTTTTGCAAAACTCTTCTTGGTCTAATAAAAGATGTCATCCCTACTACAAGTCCTGGTTGCCTGTACCGCAGGCACTTAGGACCCTTTTATATCGACTTACCCTTAAGTCAATAGTGAATCGAGGGAGTGTATGGGATGTGCCTCAAAGACAGATGTACAAGAAAGCCACTTACTGACAGGGAATGAATATGCCTTTCAGATCATAACACAGGAAGGAGGAGCTAGAGTTGATATTTATGGAACGGTCCAGTGCCTCGTTTTCTCTTGATTTACTCTCCCAGTAATGTGGGGCATGAGCAATTTCCCACGTGCGGCTACCTTTCTTTGACATTTTTGTTTCAACTTTGTGGGCAGAGGTGCAGCTTTGGCTAACTCTTTGAATTACTCAGTTTATCTGCTGGATGCGGCATGTTATGCTTCATTAATGATGAGAAATGTTGTAATTATCTTTGTTGTTTGCTCCTCACCTTTTGTTCAGCTTAGACGATGAAAATCCCATGTCAGCTTTGCTTTCTATCTGAAGTTTGTTGTGCTGTATTGTTGAGGTTTCACATGTTGCACAGAAATGTTATTGCCTTAGTCATCCTGGGGTTTTTGAAGTCAGGGATAGTTTCTTTGGGTCTCAAGTTTCATGGAAGATAAGATCCCCTGCACTGCTTTAAAATTCTTTGTTGCTAATATAGGTTACTCAGGTGTCTGGCTGAAGGGTTTTGCTCAGCTGCTCAAGATCAAGCTGATCTTCAGATTTGGGGCCAGGAAGGACTTTTTCCCTCCTATCAATTTAGCAAGGACCTTACATTTTCTTGCCTTCCTCTAATCTTCTGCCTAGGATTGTGCAAGTACATTTGACCCTAACGAGTTCCTCACCACTCCAGTGGCCAGGCACTGGTGGTGTCCTTGTCCCCTTTCTTCTTTCCCTGTGGCACACTGGCAGATAAATATATATTTATTTTTAAGGATGCTTTGTGGCTGTGATTTGTGAGAGGGGTCAGAAGGGATGATCTTGTTGGACCTTATGGACAAATATTTGTCTACGTGCACAGGGGACTGCATGTGGTGGCTCTGGATGGTCCATCTTCCTATGTAATATTTAGCACTTTCCATCTGTAGATAGCAAAGCTTTGCAAAAGACAATCAGTAATATTATTTCCACTTGAAGAGTCGCACAGGATTGTATAGAAGATCAGTGGAAGCAATGAGTCAGGAATTAAATTCTTGAGTAAAAACAAAATAAAACAATGTTCACTGATTTCTGACCAGTGAAACTTTCCGTCAAAAGAAACTTGAATTGAATTTGCTAGTTGATTGAAATTGCCAAGTAAAGCAACCATTTTTTTCTTAATATTTTTCAATCTTTAGCAACAAACACTAAAAAAATCCGCTTTTTAATTTTTTTGATTCCCTTCCACCACCACTTAGTAGAAAAGAATAGATGATGACAAATGTTGATATTATTGAAATGTATTGATAGGGATATTTTTCCCAAGTAGCTTTTGAACAAAAGTCTCCTGAGTTCCAGCCTAGTGCCTTGTCTGCATTGCCTCCTGTTGCCTTAAAAAAGTTTTGATGGAATTTGGGACTTCCCTTCAGAAGGTGGTTTTTTACATCCTGATTCAGCAAATCCTGTAAGCACATGCCTATTTCCAAGCATACAAAGTCCCACAAGTTCTAATAGGACATCTCGTGACCTCAGGCTTTACGTTTTCACTACCCCTTCAATAGTTTCATTGTGTTTTACATTGCATTGGTGGAGAGAAGATTGTAAAAAAAAAAAAGGATATTATTGCATCTTCCTTAGCACTTTGCAAATATTCATCCAAAAAAATAACAGTATATAACAGAGTTAAACACAATTTATAATACACAACATTTTAACTAGGAAATGCATTTTGATTTTGGATTTAAATATCAATATGCTTAACCTACCTGTATGCTCCTAGGTTGATACAGCTTATTCCTAAATTATATCTGGACCTAATGAAGCCGGGTTGAATTTCTAAAGCCCTAGTATAGGCCTCAACAGCTTCCTCACTTCGATCCCCATTGGCCAAGGTTGCTCCCAGACGGTTCCATAGTGTATAATCCTGATGATAAAATGACATTTTTTTTAACTTTAGGTGCGAGGCAAAATGATACGATAATTCTTCTCCTTCGGAGTAAGGAAGAAAATAAAATAATTCTATCCTCTGTTATTTGACATAATATGAAGCTCGGACTCATGATTTATACACAATTTCATAAAACCAGTACAATTAATCAGTGCCAGGTAGAAATTGGACATGCATAAATCTGCCTCTAAATGGCACTCTTATAATTAACATTTCAATTTCAGGTATTAAAAAGTTAATGGCTGAAGTGATGTCTCATTATTACTGGTCAGCCTCAAGTGAGGAAAATGAGTGGCTTGTAAAACTAAACTTTTTAATGCAAAACCATAAAAGGTACCTCTGGCCGAACAGATAAGGCAGCACTAAATGCATCTATTGCTCTGTTGAATTCTCCATTGAGGTGGAAGAGTACTCCCAGTCCTGTCTGCAAGTCGGGGTCTATCATATCTCCATTCTGATGAGCTGCCTCCAGGTATAAATCCTTTACTTCTTCAAGTAACAAGCTAGATAAGAGTGAAAAATAATACCAGACTTCACCTGCGCTTTCTTTGTAGGCGCAGCAGTATTTACTGCACAGCCAGCATTTCACATCTTTAAACTATATATGAGATTTTGCATGCTTCTGAAATGTGAAAATAGGCAACTTCGTTGTAAGTATAGCAAAGACTTATTTTTGACTCTGCTTGAGATCTCTGGAGTTCAAAAGTTTACCTGCAGTGCTAAGCCAAAGTGCAGCTGAAAACTTGGGTATAGGTATACTGTGGGCTTGTAAGAGCTTTTAATTTGGACCAGTTCTATCTGCTGAACCAAGTAATGGAAGAGGAGCTTCACTTGAGGTTAAACTAAGGGAACAAGGTTGGCAAAAATAGTGGGCTTAGTGTTCATGGGGCTTAGATAAAGATTTTGAAGTCCTAAGCCAAGATTTTTAGACTCCTAAATCCAAGGTAGGCTCCATGAAAGGGTCTCATCATCAAAGGTCTTTGGATTATGCCCAGGCAGAATAACACACTTCAGAATTACTTGGAAATTTCCACAGGTTCCCTGTGCTGAAAAATGGCAGCGGGGGCACTTTAAAGCTCATTGGACGAGCTCTAGTTAAAGCACCCTGCCACCATTTCTCAGCGTGGGGATGCTGATGCACATGATGTTCTGGGCACTTTAATTAGAGCGGCTCTAATTGAAGTGACCCTCTTCCTCCCCCCATTCTCGGAGCATGTGTATAAATGCCTTTTCTTCTCGGATATAGTCAATATTCCATACTAACCTTTCATCTGCTGGTTTAGACTTTCTCCTGGTAAGTGCTGGAGACCCTTTTTTGCTCTTCACTAGATACTTGTATTTTGGGTTTTGCTTTATCCAGTTTCTTAAAGCTCCATAGGCCTCTTGTTGATGGCCAGTATTAGTGTAACTTACAGCCAACGCCATCAGAGCTTTTAAGTTGTTTGGCTGTAGTTCTAAGCACCTAAGCAGAGAGGAAAAGAAATGTTCTTCTTAGCTTCTCTTAGTAAAACATGACCATTTTCAGCAACCCTAATCCTAGTGCTTTTGATAGGGCTGCATACAAGTGTGAAGAATTGTTCGTACGAAGGAGGATTTCAGGATCGGGATGCCTGATTCTGCCTTCTCCTTGTGCGGTAAGTGCCATCCGCACCTCTGTTTTTCTATAAATATAAAGTTACTTCCCATCTTTGAATAGCAAACATGGGATGAATTCTTTTTTTTTTTTTTAAATAATGCCTGCCTGGAAAATAAGCACAAGCTTGTGCAGTCTGGAAGGAAGCAGTTGTGTGAAGCATTTGGCTATGTAAAATGTAGGGGGGGAAAAAGCCCTATCCTTTCATATACATCTCTTGGGCCATATTCAGTTCTCTGTATATTTTTGTAAGGCTGGAGACAGCCCACTGATTTCAGGTGTATAACCAGTGGCAATGCGTAGAGCGTGCACGGGGGTGCACGTGCACCCCCTGAGAGTGCTGGTGCGCCCCCTGATAAGCTGTGTTCCCTGCTTAGGCAACAGGCGGGGGAAGGGGGGGCAGGTGGGAGCACTGGTGCCTCCTACAAGAGCTGGCTGGGGAGTGAGTGTGCCACGGCCACTTCCGGGAGCTCCATGGCTACTTCCAGGAGCACTGCGCCTGCTTCCCAGTCAGTGAGATTGACTGTGGAGGAACTCCCTTGTTCCCCACCCCGGTCACTGACTGGTCACTGGGGAGGGAGGGAAAGGGGGGCGGGGCATGTGCCCCCCCCGACTAAGGTGGCACCAGTCGCCTATGAGTATAAGAGAGCAGAATCTGGCCCACTGTGCCTTTGTATGTAAATGAGTTACAGTAAATGAAGGATCCTGTTGGTTTGAATGTGAACATAGTCAATACAATTAAGTTTGGAGAAGGTATTTGCTTCAAGTAGAAATAGAGCAGCACTTACTACAGATAAAAGTAGTGTAACTCTGTTACTTTGAAACAGGCATTGACTTGCATGTAGGATCTTTATATTCCTATCCTTCTGTAACAGCAGTTCTCACCCTTTTTAAACTCAGGGCACCCCTCAGAAAATGCTAGCTCTTAGCTTTCACTTGCTTCTTGACTACGGAAGAGTAATGAGAAGTTCTGTTGCAAAGAAGTCAGAAAGACCATAACAGGTCAGAATACTTGTAATACTACAGATTCCTATTTGAAATCTCCGGATTTATCTTACGCATCATTCCTAAGTGTTTGCACACTTAAAGGTGTTAATATTGTGTGGCAGCTGATGGCACCCTAACAGGTCCCACGGTACCCCAAGGTGCCATCATAGCTTGGCTGAGAATCACCAACCTAAAAATATTCTCCATCACTTTAGTGTTCAGCTGCCAAAAAGAGCTCAGTCCAATTAAGAAAAAAATGTCGTTGAAAGAGAAACCTTTAGAAAGTGTACTGTGTGCCTAGAATATTGAAAAGGCATTTATTTGCATTGAATCTAATTCATGTTTTCTAGGGCCATGCAGCTTTACTTTTGTGTTTCCATCTGTTTAAATATTAGACTAAATATTGCAATTACTGCACTGAATTGCAGCACAGCGTCTGGCTTATGCCCCCAGAGCCATCATGGCAACTTTCTTGTATTCAGGTCAATATTTTTCACAGTTGAATATAAAAATTCAGAACACAAGTGAGGTGAAATGCACAAAGGCATATATTAGCTAATAATGTGTGGATGGATTCAATATTTTGCAATTAGGTACATCTACCTCTGGAGGGCAACAATAGCTGCCTGTTCATTTTCATTCTCTGCCTGTGTTATTCCAAGGAACTGCCAAGCCTGCAAAAATAATAATTGATATTACTTTTTAGAATATATGCTCTAGTGCAACTGAAATTATAGAGAAATATCTGGTGCGTGATTTAAATAAATAGACCTTCATAGAAAGCAATTCTATCCAACACTGTTCTAACTACAGCATTTCTGGTATTTCTGTTGCCAGTGAACCAACTGTACAAATGAAAGTGGTTTTGGATATCTTTAGGCTTCACATAATGTTCCTGTTGAAGTTGAAGGGGAGCCTGCTCACTGAATAGCTGTATTTCCAAACCCCATGTAGTTTTCTCAAGTGAATTACTACATATTTTAAATGGACTGTGGTATTGTAAAATGTTTGCCCCAAATGGTGAAGAACAGCTACTTTTGCTGTGCAAGGGGGAAATCTAGAGTGTCAGGGGCAGGGGTTTTCTTTGGCCTTCAAAATACCCCAGATCTGTTATTGCACGTACATACAGCAATAAATAAAGAGACCCAGATTTACATGTGCAACAACTTTTTCTGATTCTGGACTGTATATCTGAAAGTAAACTTTGTCTCACTATGCCGAATCCCACTGTTTCTTCTCCTTTGACTATAAATGGAGCTATGAGTTGCATCAGCTGAGGGGCTAGGTCCCAGATATTTTGTCCTTGTGTGGTCTTCCAGAAGGAAAGAAGGAATGTCTTTCTCCCAGGTGAGCCGTATCTTTTGACTGCACCCCTTCACACATGAGGTTTTTAAAATGGAAATAATAAACGCTGAGTGAGAGTGGTTGAAGTCTTGATGTTCATCATCTACAGTCATTAATTGTAAGTATGAGGAATCTGCAAATACTGCATTAAACATCAGTATTTTAATGGCATGCACTGAATCCATATTTCTACTTCATATTGTTCCTTCTTGGTTTGTCGAAGTCAATGCTACTCTTACAGCATCCCTCAGTCAAATACACTGTGAAATCCTTTCTCCTTTTGTCCCTAAGGACTAGGTATGTGATTCCTCCTTGCATTAGACTTCATTCCTATGGTATATTCTTTCGCTCCTGTATCCCAGATACCAATTGCAACTCTAAGGCTTGGTCGTCCCCAGCACCTTTAACATAAGATACACCAAGCACACTGTAGATGCAGCTTGATTCTGCAACTTGATGAATTTTTTCAAGAAGTTTTTAAATTGAAAATATTAGGAAAAGATCATTCACAATGGGGCTGTTTTGATGCTTTGAAATGGAAGTTGTACATTCTGAAACTCCTTGGAAATAGGTTTTTGTGTCTTGATGGTTTTACTTCAACTACTTCCAACTACATTACTATGTCCTCTATTTAACTTGATTATGACTGCCAAACGTTTTGACCCAGGCTCCTTCCTATCTTTGCCATGGACCGTGAAATGAACCAACTTCTAGATCCTTTCCTTCCCAGAATGAAGGAGAAGGAAGTGTGAATACCTCTGCATCATTGGGATCTTGTAGAATAGCAGCCTCCATGTATAATATTGCCACAGGCAGGTCTCCTCCTTTCAGTTTTTTCAATCCTTCCTCAAAAGCACCAGGACAATCTTTGAAAGGGTTTTCTGTATGAAAGTAGTAACCCTGGAACAGAAGTGAATGGTCCTAAGATGAAACACAGCATCAAGGAACATTAACAGCATAAACTTCAATAGCTTATTATTTCTCAGCCAGATGTAAAGCTTCTTGTCTGTACGGAAATGATACAAGTTATCCTGCAAAGTTTTAATTAAAGCAGATTTTAACACTATGTGATTCAGGTCACACATCAGCACTGAGCACTTATATTATGCACCCTTTTCTAGTTCTCCTGTGAGCTTTGCCTACTCCCAGTCAGTGTGGTAATACCCACATTGACTTTGATATGACCAGTGTGTACCAGATATATCCAACTTGGGCTTGAAGTGCATGTTTCCAAGGGACTATCCTTTCCCTGTACTTTCAATCCACTGTCTGTTCAGTGCTTGGCTTTATGATGTAGCATGAAAACTTCAATGAATGAATCCCCAAGATGTTATTCAGTTTTGCAAGCCCCTGAGTTTTTTTTAAAACTCAAAGAGGGTTTGCTCAGCACTGAGATATTATCCAAGCTTGTGGCACCTAGCCAAGCCCACTCGTACTCTCAGATGAGATGGTTTAGGAGGAGAGAAGGCAATGCTAGTTTCAGGCAAGTAGGGATGGCAAGAACTGTCTCATAGACCCTAGGGGAGAGATGCAAACACCTGTGAGGGTTGTTCAATATTGTTTCCTACCAATGCTTTAACATAGTTAGAAAATGAAAATGTAAATCAAATTTAAATCTATCAGACAGATGGGACAGAAGACACAATCCCTTCATAAGGAGAGTGGCTGCTGTGCACATAGTGCCAGATTTTCAAGTGTTCAATCTCCTTGCTTTAGGGCCCAATTCTCAAATGTGCTTAGCACCAGTTGTTCCCACTGCAGTTTGTTCTGTTAAAGACGATTGCTGTTACCTTCTCAATGGTTGAAACAGCTACTTGCCCTTGAGCTTCCTGGTTGTCTGATATCCAGTTCCTCCGAGCCATTTCTTCCCATTCTGCTTGCATCTTATCCCAAAACTCTGTATCTGACTGGGGGTGGAGGGGAGGGAGGAGGCAGGGGTGGTAAAAGAGCAATTAAAAAAAAAGAAGTATTTTAAATATGAAAAAAACTCCATTGTAAGAAAACACCACACTCCCAACCTGCTTTAGATGTTTCAAAAATGCAAACATATACAGCACCAGCATGGCTTCAGTCATCAGTGTTAAATTTTCAGGCATTTGCAGCAAAGTAAAGGCAGCAATGATAGACAGGGTTGGAGGCCTATTTGATGTAAAATCCTGTTTGGACTGGGGAGGTCTCCTGCGTCTTTTGTTCCAAGTTTCAGATGAAAAAATAGAAGTCTGGTTGAGCTATTATCTTATAGTGAAGAGGAGTCAGATCTGTGCTCTCTTTTTGGTTCTCTTCCCTAATTTACTGAGTGATTTTAGGCAAAATGCATATATAATGCCTTCAAACCCTGATATTCTGATCTGCATAATATGTATACTATATGCTCACCACAGAGGGGTGTTTTTTGTAGAGCTTTGAAGTTTTATCAATTAAAGATCCTCTATAAGTATCCAATGGTGCTAAGAAAGTCTATAGCTGATGTTCTTAAATGAAAGAGTTTTCCAGGGACCTAAGGCTGCTTACACATGCTCAAATGATATGGGAGCATTCTCCTAGTAGAAAAACATACCAGGAGACACCTAACCATTTGAATGGCCAGCTCCTGAAGAACAGAGAGCTTGTAGTGCTGATGCTGCACAGCTAGGGGGTCTTCATGCATGCATCCCAGCATGCTCTGCAGGCTCCCTTAGCCTGCCTGGAGACAGAAGGATGGCAGTGCACAGGGAAGCCCTAATTGGCTGACCCAGACGGTTCAGAGTCAAGCCTGTGTTTCCCTGCAACACAATGTGGGAATTGTGAAGGGGGCACATTCTGTTCTCTGCTGGGCTGGAGCTGCAGAGTCCAGTGAGTGATACGCTGTCTCCCTGTGGGGGGGAGAGAGCAGGAACAAAGTACCCTGGGATGCTGGAGGACTGTGCTGTGCTGTGGTTACTCTTAGGAGAGAATGTATACAAACATTCACTGTCCCAGGAGAAACTTCTCCAGGAAGGATTTAATACTGGTTGTTCCCAGTATATTTGTCTCTTGGAGTGGCCAGTTTATTTTTGCTCTGGGAAAAATCCTGAACATCTGTACATTCATGGTTTCTCATGAGATAGCAGTGACTCTCCTGGGAAAAACTGAATGTCAGTATATGGCCTAAGTTTGAAACTAGCTCACAGACTATAATGACCACTGTTCAGTCAGAGGGCAAGGGTAATACTGAATCAGATGTTGCCAGTTGATCAGCTTTTAAGAGAGGTCATCTTTTGGCTCTGAACTACTTGGTGGTATCCCCTTATATTTTAAAGGCAGAATATTTCTCATGGAGGATTGGTGAATTCACAAAATATCTGTAGGGGAAAAAGTAAACTGATCTTTCTACTGCACTCCTAATAAAGCCCGAGAAATTGAGCTCAGTGCATGGTGTTTTTGGGTAGCAATGAAATATATTATATAAGCTTCAGATTGATATAATAAGAACATGTGTCTCTTGTCTGTGACCCTGTTGGCCATGATGTTTCTTGATGTAAATTAAAATAGCTGAATCATAAACAGGAGTTTATAGTGCTAAATCCTCTACTGCAGCTCTGGTGCTAATCCATCAGCAGTTGGAATGTTTAAAATTAGCTACTTATTAATTAAAGTTTGAAAATCAGTTTTGCACTCCAGCTCTTATAATTTTAAAGGCATAAACACTTTTGTAGCTTATCTAAGATCCAAGTTCCCTGGACATTACTCAAAACTTACTGAGCTACAGAGTTAATATCTGTCTCTGGGCATTATACACATGCTTTGGGGGGTGGGCACTTTAATTAAATACAAAGTTATTGGCTGAGAGCCACTCATATTAAAGCACCCAGAAGGTCTCATGTATCAGTGTCCCCACACTTAAAAATGGCAGCAGGGTCACTTTAACTAAAGCTCATTCAACAAGCTTTAGTTAAAGCACTCCCACTGCCATTTTTAAGTGTGGAGACACTGATACATGACATGCTGGAGTCTGCTGAAACATGGTAATTACCATGCTCCAGCAAACTGGATTAATTGAGCTTGCTCTGACACACTGGAATTACTGTGCATTGAAGCAGCCTTGCTGCTCATATATAGGCACACTTAATGCCCACCACAGCAGGACAACTAAGAAGCTTGTAGCTACATTTAACTCCTCATCCTGTTCATCTCTGAAGTTTTGGAGAATAGCAATGGTCCCTGTTTCCTACCTGGGCCAGCTATGGAGGTGTGCACTAAAAATATTCAATGCTTTAACATCTTAAATGAGTGTTTCACTACAATAGGTCTGCACTGGTTTCCTACTACAAATGTCAACAAGATGATTAAGTTCCATATGTGACCTGAACTACAACAGCTCTGGGGAGGAGGGAAAGGTATGTTGAGCAGAAGGTTCAAGTCAGTTGAGAGAGAGGCACTGTTAAAGGACAGACAGAGCACGGTAGTACCACCTAATGTCTGAGTAGGAGCACAGCATGCTGAAGGGAGCTCTTTTCAGGGTTTAAGGCTCACAGGACTCTGTGTAGTACCCTGCACCCCTCCCAGGCTATGTGGTCTTGCTGCTGCTACTATGGCCATGTTGCCTGTACCACTGCTCATCTCACAGGTAGGCACATGAATCCTAGGGGTCTGTGCTGGGACAGGGGAGTTTAGGCCAGAGGGGATGAGACTAAGGAGTGGCATTGGCATGAGGGCAGCATGGCATGGGATGCAATTGAGAGGTATCAGGGTCTGGAAATGAGTAGGGGACCCCTGGGGGTAGGGGAGCATGGTATAAAACTACTGCTGCGGTCAAGCAGGGTTGCCTCTGCAAGATTTTTTTTTTTTTTTTTTACTAACCATCTGCAAACTTTTTACTGACAACCAGATATTTTTTTACTATGTTTGGTGTTCAAGCCCCAAATTAGAACCCAGCTCTTGTCCAGGGTCTGGCAGAAAGGTTACATTTACATTATGTAAAACATGCTTGTTTGTCAGTAAAAAGTTTGCAGATTGTCAGTAAAAAAAATGTTGTGGGTTGGCAACCCTCTTTTTTGGGCTGCTTGTTTGTTTTTGAAAGAAGTGAAGTTTGCAGTGGCGGTCAGCGCAGAGTGTTGTGGGCTGGTGATGAGAGGTGCTGCAGATACTCAAGAACATGTGTTTCTTGTGTGCATTCTTGTTTGCAGAGGTGAAATGTGGTGAGAAAATATATTATCTTTTCCCCCTGGGTGGCTACATTCCACTGAAAGATGCCTATAACTAATTTAAATGTAATTTACTGGGTGAGATTAATTGTATACGTTACTCATGTTACATTTATAAAATCACAAAGGCACCCCTCTGCAGCCAGTGCCTTTGTCATAATTTCAAATACATCATGAGCCTTCAGTTCCTTTCTATCAGGGGTCTGACTCTGCCACTTTCACAGAGCCTTATTTTATTCCACAAATAATCCCACTGAATGAAGGACTCTTTAGTGTGAGCAAATTTGGACCCCTGTATAATTACATTTTATCTTTCATGCTTGTGTGTGTTTCTTTAACAGAACACCCTTTATCTCAGAGGCAGCATATGTTCTCTGTGAACCAGAATTTGCAGTAGCTTGCACTGCATCTTATTGACGACAGAAGAAAATTACTATATAAAATTCTCAGAAATGAATGCAGGAAACTCAGTCCTTTCCAAAACCAACTGTGCACAGATGATGCTAAAATGCAGATTAAACAGTTCAGAACAGAATAAATATCTCATTTTGGTGCATGCAGCATCAACTTAACTTCCCTGGGAGGAGGGAAAAAGCTTAGAGAAAAGGTGTTTACTCAAGTGGATTAATGTACCTGAGGTTCTGTGACATAAGCAGAGAGAGCCTAATATTGTATGATCTACTCTACTGGAGACAGTGAACAATAACATCTGGTAAAATATTTGAGAAGTAATAATGCTGAGTTCAAAGGCAAGAGGAGAGAAAAAGCAAGCGTAGGGCAAGCACATTAAGATACTGAAATAAAACTGAGATTTAGTTGGTGCAATAAACTGAGTGAGGCAGTAACTGTGGTTGCCACAAGTGATGCTGAGAAATGGAAACAGGTCAAGGTTAAAAAGGTAGATTCTAGGTTAAGGCCCCACATTCCCATCCTCAGTGTGTTAGGGATAAATGAAGACAATTCAAAATGGAGTATGTGTCCAGAGCAACGGGCTACTGGGGGTGTTTTCTGGTTCTTCCAAGTGCATGGCTAGATCATCAATGAACTGAAATCATCATGGGCCAATACACATACTTCACTAACACCTTAGAGTACAAGGAACCCCCCTGAGTTCTGATGGAACTATTTGTAGAGTAGAGTACTGCTTGTCACGAGTTAAGGGCATCAGAAACTGGGCTGGGTAGCTGCATCTTAGTTTTGACCTCAAGACATCTCCTTATGCACGCTCTTTGTCTGCAAAGAGGCATTATCTGCAAAGCGTTAAGTGGACTTAAAGCCTATATGGGCAAATGTGACTTACAGCAAGATATCCGATCAGGAGTTTAGTGCAAGTGGAAGGCACAAACTAATAGAAATCCAGGTGGACTCAGCAGTGAGATTATTTAACACGAGATGTATAGGGATAGGAAGGCTGGTGCTAAGAATCGGGTTGTGATTGTTACAGGTTCACAAGGTTGCTTACAAACTGCTTTCTCTCTAGCTATCTAACAGAGGTGTTTCTCATGTGCCCAACACTACAGTGTCTGGATGCCAGTATTCAATACTCTGCTTTTCTCTGTTGCTCAAACAGCTTCAAACCTGTCTGATCAGTGCGAGTACTTGGCCACTGATGGCACCTTCTGCCTTTCCGTGGAAATCTGAGTTCCAGTGTGCATCACTCGCAGAAAGAGAGATCCCACCTTCTTAATATGCATTTGAGTAGAGCTGAACGGAGGATGACAATTCCATTTCACAGTACTTAGTTA